ATGAATGGATTTGCCATTCCTGATTTAGGCAATATCATTGGCTTTTTATTGTATTCTAATTTTAAAGCAAGTTATATATGAGTATTTTATGATGTAGGTACAATTTATATAAGTATTTGCTTAAGGGATTTTTTTTTCCGATTACCGCACACATATAGTATAAAGATTGGAATAGATGTATTTTACAAGTATTCAATCTTAATAGTACTTTAATAAAAAATAAATAAATAAGAATAAATACTTACGTAGCGAAACTTAAATGTGGTCTTAAAAACTCCAAAGACTTCGCCCAATTATATTTTTTATATTGGTCCAAACGTCTTCCCTTTGATGCGCCTTCAGCTTGTCCAGTTGTAGTTGCATTAGCTCTTAAATATTTTTGATATGAATCCCTCAAATTTTTCCACTTTATTTTTAATGTCTCTCCTATCATTACCATAATAATTTATTTGAACGTTATGTAATAATTATTAGAAGTATATGCACATTTTAAAAAAAGGTCAGTGTAAATTGTAATGGATGGTGTTAACTTTGAATTCAATGATATGATATATATGATATATATTACTTTGTATACAAACAACTATTAGATTACAACAAAATAGCGTTTAAATATCTAATTAAAATAATATACTTTAGAAGTAAAACCCCTGTTCATCCATACATTTTTATAGGTTTTTCCCGACGCTTTTTAAAACTACTATGAATTTTTAAAATATAATTTATTTTAATTGTTTTCTTATGCAAGTGTTATATAGGTGCTAATATAATAAGTATTAATATATTAAATATACCTGCAATATTATGTACTTAATGTATTCAATTAATACATCACAGTTTTTTTTCTATTTTTAATTGTACCTATACAATTCATTTTTAATATGTTATTCTGACATAAAAATATGTATGATTAGTTAATAAAAAAAAAAACTATAGTAGGTAGGTACCTATACGAAATAAACACATTAAACTTTATTCTCAGCTCATTGCTTCATTGATAGTTAGCTAAGCCGTAAGTTAAAAAAAAATAAAAAGGATTTGAAGGAAATTATTTTAAGAGCCAAAAAATATTGAACATTTTTTAATTTAATTTAAAAAAAAAATACAAGGTAGGTGCAATACATTAATAGGAAAAATAAAATAGTACTATACATATTGAATAAATAAAATAATAAAATGTTTTTAAACGCATTACGTTAAAAATCAACTATTAATATTTTATACATATTATACATATCTACTAATATTATTGATACATTTTAGGTTTTTTGCAACTCGTGATTCTTATTCAACCATAGGCCACAGTTTTCGTGTTGGTTTCTCTACTGTGAGTAAAATAGTTGTGGAAGTTAGTGAAGCTATTATCAAAATAATGGGTCCAATGTTTTTACCAGAACCTACAACAGCTATTTGGAAAGAATCATCGAGTGGTTTTTATGAAAAATGGCAATTTCCTAACTGCATAGGTAGTATTGATGGAAAACACGTAACTATTAAATGCCCAGACAACAGTGGAACACGAAATTTTTGTTACCTAAAAAAGTTTTCGCTTGTGTTAATGGCAATAGTCGATCCAGATTATAAATTTATTTGTGTCGATGTTGGTGGTAACGGACGAAACTCAGATGGTGGAATTTTAGAAGAATCGGTAATGGGTAAACGTTTGGAAGCTGGGACATTAAGTGTGCCAAAAGGTGTACCATTACCTGGGCAAATAGAAGACACACCCATGGTTTTGATTGGTGATGAAGCATTTGCATTAAAAACATATTTAATGAAACCATTTCCACGTAGGCAATCCAGAAACAATACGAGATTGGACACCTACAATTATAGATTATGTAGAGCTAGGCGAGTTGTCGAAAACGCATTTGGCATTTTATCAAAAAAATGGAGAGTTTACAAAGGGCCTATAGAACTAAAAGAAGATACAACTATTAAAGTTATATTAGCAACTTGTATATTGCACAATTATTTACGTGTAAAAAAAATGTGACATAAGAGATGTAGAGTTAGATGATGATCAGTCAATAATTGGAGCCTTAGAGGAAAGCGAAGCTAACAATCGGAGAGGAACAAATGAGGCAATTCGAGTACGTGAACAATTCGTACATTTTTTTAACTAATTAATATTGCAGAATTGTTATAACTAATAGTATAATTTTTTTTATTATTATTTGATTTGTTGATCTGACTACTTTTACTTAAATTAGTTATTATATTTAGTATAATTTTGTTAGTTGGTAATTAATAGTTACAATATTTTCAGCACTTTAATATAATAACAAAAATTAAATGTTCACTACAATTAATTAATTAATTTTAATTAATTAATATTAATAATTACCTTTTTCTCCGTTCATTTCTTTACTTATAACATTATCCCATATATAATCTTTTTGTCTTGTATCTTTAAACTCTTGTAAGGTCATGTCGTACATTATCGGATAGTTTTTTACAACTAATATAAATTTTTCGGTATTATCTTTGTTTGAGAGAGACATGTTAATAATTTGAAAAACTGTAATATTTAACAATTAAATGTAAAATATGACGAGTAGCCACAGTCACAGACTCACAGCATAGACGTAATTGATGACAGTACAATGTTGAATGTTTAGTAAAATTACGCATGTTCAAAAATAACATTTATTGAAAATAGACATTTCGGTGTAATAACTGGTGTTCTTAGAATAGGTACTTGTCTAGACGGTCTAGACGGAATTTTAATTAATTTTAATATTTCCAATTTATATTTTTACCCTAATGCATTTACAAATAAAGTATCTACCTGTTTAAAATCGTATACACAAAGTACCTACACAGTACACACACACGTCATGTATATTAATTATCTTAAAATTTGGTGGTTCTGACAAAATATTTAGTTATATTTTAGCAGACAATTTCACAAAATCACGTCTATATCAACATTAATTTCTTGAGATATTGCAAAAGTTATCTTATAAAATCACAGTAGGTATCTATCCTCATCATAGGATTTATAATTCAAAAAAATTTAAAAATATATGTTTAAAATGTAACATGCAATTATATTTTCCTAATAAATTTATACTCTAATATAATGCATTATATCATGTATTATAAAAAAAAAAATAAAATTTTAGTATAATATATGATTGAAATAAATATAAAATATAAAATACGGCCGGCGGTGGCGGTAAAATTCGGGCATGCGGCGGTTTTTGAAATTACCGCGGCACGATATTTTACCGCGGCCGTTTTACCGCTGCAGTGTGTGGACTCTCATAAGAACGCACGTGTTTTATTTTACCGCCACCGCCACCGCTGCAGTGTGTGCGGACCTTAAGCCGGAATATCATAGTAGTTGCGATTTAAAGAATAAAATTATTATATCGTTATGCCACCGTGGTTAATAATTATTATAATATTATTTATAGTAAAGCTTATCGCTGGCAGTGCGTACTCGTCAAAAATCGGTTATGAACTTGGAAGCGGTAATTGCAGCGGATCGGGGGGTCACGAACGTTGTTGATCGCTGCCGTGATAAAAACGAAGCAGCACTAGACGGCCGTAATTTTACGCGTTTTTCTTATAAAACATAGTTTTGTGCGTTCCAATAAGATGGATTACTGAGTGGTTTTATCGTAAAAACACCTATGAACAAAATTGTAGAGGAGATTTTTATCTGGTTCCGTAAGAAGCCCGATTTTCGATATCATTTAAACACCATGAATTATATCATGATTAATAATACATTTTTTTTAAATTTTTCAAGTCATTTTTAGGACTTAGAAATAAAAATTTCAAAAATCGGGCGTCTTATGAAACCAGATATAACTCTCTTCTACAATTTTGTTCATAGGTGTTTTTACGATAAAACCACTCAGTACCCCATATTACTGGAACGCGCAAACATGTTTTTAAAGGAATTTTTCGAGTGATTTTTTTTCGTGACACGTCCTCTTAATGTATAAATATATTTTCAGATTCAAATATTATTATACAATTATTGTACGTACAATAATTCTAGTACAATTAGAAAAACCGTGGATTTGTCGAAATCAATTAAGGATTTTTAAAACATCGTAGGTCGTGGGGTTTTCAAAAACTGAAATAACAACTTGTTAGACATGTAAAACGTATTCGTTCGACCACCAGGTGACCGAGTAACGTGAATGAAAAGGAAAATTTCCAAATTTGGTAAATCTTGCTCATGAGTAGTTATATACGTTATAGTAGACATTCCAATCTGCCTATATAAAAATTATTATGTAAAGTGTAAGCAAAAAAATAATATATTTATTATTATTTATTTGATTAAATTTCATTACGCTGGAGATGACATTCCAGTAGACATCATTACGTTACATGTTAATAGCCAAAATATTTTGAGGGGACTAAAGCCATTATTCTGTAAATTATGTGTCCGTGATGGGGCCCTTTTCACAATATAATTAATTTATGTTTATAAAACTACTACCTATGTTTATAAAATACTTAATTAATACTTTGTATTTCATTAATTTCAATTTCAATGTTCATAATAAGTTTAAAATGCATTAACAGTAGGTATACTTATATAAAATAAATATTCTGATTGGGCGTAAGTTAATAAAATTACTTAAAAACTTCAATTTTGGTAGTACCGTCTTGAAACCTTAGATGATCGAAGCAGTGAAACCTCTTGAACAAATTTATGTTCTCGAAAAAGTCGCGTCTCGATTTTAAGTACCATAAATCTGCAAAACAAAATAGCCCGCCAATTTAATTTTTGAAAAAATCAAATTTTGAACTCCACATTTACCCCATTAATATTTGGGTTTAAAAACTTTTAAAACTGGGAACTTATCTAGGGACGACACTGCTTCGATCCTCGAAGGTTTCAAGACGATATGACCAAAATTGAAGTTTTTCAGTTTTCCGGATGTATTACGATTTCGAAAAAACCAAATCATTCAAAAAAGGTACTATCTTTTTGAAACCTTGAATTGACCTATTATTATATAGGTTTTAATATATTCTTGTTATATTAAATCTATCGATTTACGTGAATAAATAATGAGCTACACGCCTACTTAATGCGAAAAAAAGTTCAAAATAATTATTATTCAAAAAGTTAGACAGATGTGTAAGGTACCATAAGAAAACGTCTCGTTATACGAAAAATCACATAATCCGTTTTTCAACTTTTTGCCACACTGACTACGGGCGAAATAACGGTCGTACGTACTTCGACCAAAGACCCTTTTTGAATTCTCGTACGTCAAAAGACTAGAATCTTGAGTTTAGTAATGATCAAACGAAATCCCAAAATCCAAAATACAAAGTATACTAAGTACAGAAAACACACAAAAAATCATAACTCTCGAACTATAAGTAGGACAATCTCAATCTCGGTACCCATCGATACGTTGGAAAGTATTATATTACTCCTGACTATAAACACGGCTCGCCTCGCCCAAAATCTAAGTGACCGTACCGAAAACCCCGAAAAACTAGTCGTTCGAGCACGGAACGGTTTTTACCATTTTTTCTTATATATATATATATACGCCTGCTCGGAGATAAAGTGTCCGGCAAGCTCTCCCCTCTGCGGTCCAACGACATTTTTGCCGGCTGAGAGTCGTGCCACCAGACAGCCCGGCTTCCGATACTTCGACACCTAGGTTATTTGTCTGTTTCCAACGGTTGGGCCCGACACATCTCTCTGTCTGCCCACCTTTACGGCGCGCCGGTTTTTTGGTGCTGTTGTTACCACCTCGTGGTCTTCTTAACATTGAATTTGTTTTGGTGCCGTCTCACTGGAGGATCCGAGCCATCGTCTTAATTTGTAAGGGACTACGTACCACACCGTTCCGACGAAAGCTGCAGCTGCTAACCAGGTCGTCATATTTTTTTTCTTTTGTTTTATATATACACCATTTTTTTTTGGTGTGTATTTGTGTGTATTATTTTGTATAACATTTTTTATATTGTTTATATTGTAATTAGTACCGGGCGCCCTCATTTTAACGGGCTCGCTATATTTAGCCCTTATTATTATGGTATATTGAATATTTGTTTAATTTATTATATATTGTATGCGCATAACGCTATAAGTTGACGTGTTATTGTCGTTTTGTACCAGTCAGTACGTATCCTTCCCCCCTATCGTCAACACGACGCTAGTCGGTGCAGCAAACTGCAATTATACAACGTAAGTGCTGCTTCGGCGAACATTAGTAAATTATAGATTATGTATATTCTATAAAGTATTAGTATATTAGTATAATATACTAATACTCTTGTTAAAGACCACTGTTTGGTTGAAATCATCGCACACAACACGTTTTAAATGTTTGTTTTAACACTTTATTTAACATTGACTCTTTGAGTAACAAAACATTAACAAACAACAAATTACTAAAATTACAACAGTTTTAAATTAAACGGACGTACTGCGTCTTACACTGCCCGTTGGCTACTACTTCTACAATTGTTGTGAGAGCACCTACTTGGATTTATTGGGGGGGTCAGTGTGACCACCCTCTACATAATTTATAACATTCGGCCATCCGACTTTGTTGGACGCCCCGGCCCAACTTTCATTAGCTATCTCTAATTATTTAACATAATTTAAAATAATTTGATAATTTAATAATTTAACATATTAACATAAGATATAATAAAAAAAAAAATACAGGACATATTTGTTAAGTAGGTTTAATTAACTAAATATAATCCCTTAGATGAGCTGGTCTCTTGCGGACTCGCTTTGGTCGCGTTGGTGTTTCTTCATCAGGAGTTGAAGTCTGGGTTCCTAGGTGTTGCACCTCTGTGTCCTGTTCAATCTCTTGGTCAGTACTCACTGTCCCATCCTGTTCAGCGTCACTCTCCTCTGATTGTTCATCCTTTTCAGAAAAACGCTTCAAGGCACTAACATGAGCAGTTGTAGCATACAAATGCCCTCCTGTGTGGTGTAGGTCTGCCAGTTTGTATGTATCTCCAGCGTTCACTGCTGTCACGACCATC